CCTGGAACCAGCTGGAAGCAGAGAGTGGGGGTGGCAAGGGGGGTCGATCTTCTGAGAAGCTTGGCTGCCCAAGAGTAACTGGAGGAGGCAGTGGGGGTGAACGAGGGCTATTTTAAGGCAGAAGAAACCTGAGCGTTGGGACGTTAGAGCCAATGAGGAGCAACCGAAGAAGTGGGGTGAAGGAGGCTAGCAGGAAGCTCAAGGTCTGAGACAGGGAGCCTTGAAGGGCGGTGTGATGGGCAGAGCGTTCTGGAACAGTGGCGCAAAGGTGAGGCCTCAGAGGCGGGCAACAGGCTCAGCACCACCATAGACAGAGGTGAACTATCTCATCTGAGGTCACCCAGCGTCCACTCCAAGTCACAGCACAGGCCACAGCAGCCACCTGGGGATGAAGGTTTTCTGGGATGGTTCTGTGGGAAGAATGAAGTCAGGACACAGCAAGAGTGGCTGAGGCAATGGATAGGTAAATCTAAACTGGAAGGGACTAAAGGACAGGGCAGACATAGAGGCCATGGGTCAGGAGACCTTCATGAAAATGGTCGTATGATGGGCCAGTGAGATGGCTTAGTGGGTAAAGACAGTGACTGCTAAGCCTGATGACCTGAGTTCAATCCCTGGGACCTGCATGTTAGAAGGAGAGAACCAACTCCTATAAGATGTCTTCTGACTTCTGTGTGTGTGCCATGGCGTGCATACACACACTAAATAAATGTAATTAAAAAATGTTTACGTGAGCACCTGAAAGGACAAGGTGACCAGGGGCTCTCAAGAGAGGGAGGGGTTCTGAATGAGCTCATAGCTGTCAGACAGAAGAAGGACAGACACAGGGTGTGACCCAACTATCCCACAGGGCCCATGTACAGCAGCTGCATGGGGAACACGGGAGGAATATGTTTAGTTTAGCCTAGGAGAGACAGGTGCATGGCAGAGCATTCACACAACACAAAGAGGTGTCCTGCCACCAAGACTGATGACCTGAGTTCAATACCCAGGACTGACACTGTGGAAAAAGGGAACTGACTTCTCAGAGTTGTCCCTCTAACTTCCACATATGTGCTGTGACACGCACACAGACACAGACACAGACACACACACACACACACACACACACACACACACCTGGATGTAATAAAAATCAAAATGTAATTCTTTTTGTTTGTGTGTTCGTTTTTTGAGACAGGGTTTTTCTGTGTAACTTTGTAGACCAAGCTGACCTCGAACTCACAGAGATCCTCCTACCTCTGCCTCCTGAGTTTGGGGATTAAAGGAGTACACCACTGTCCAGCCTCAAGATGTAATTCTTGAAAAACTTTGCTGGAATGATAGCGCACACCTTTAATCCCAGCACTCAGGAGGCAGAAGCAGGAGGATCTCTGTGAGTTTGAGGCCAGCCTGGTCTACAGAGTTAGTTCTAGGACAGTCAGTGCTACACAGAGAAAATCTGTCTCCAAAAAAAGAAAAAGAAGTCGGGCAGTGGTGGTGTGTGCCTTTAATCCCCGCACTCGGGAGGCAGAGGCAGGAGGATCTCTGTGAGTTTGAGGTCAGCCTGGTCTACAGAGTGAGTTCCAGGACAGCCTCTAAAACAATACAGAGAAACCCTGCCTCGAGGAAGAGGAGGAGGAGAAGAAGGAAGAAGGAGAAGGAGGAGGAAGAGGAGGAGAAGGGAAAAGGAGAAGGAGGAGGAAGAGGAGAAGAAGGAGAAGGAGAAGGAGAAGGAGGAGAAGGAGAAGGAGGAGGAGGAGAAGGAGAAGGAGAAGGAGAAGACGAAGACGAAGACGAAGACGAAGAAGAAGAAGAAGAAGAAGAAGAAGAAGAAGAAGAAGAAGAAGAAGAAGAAGAAGAAGAAGAAGAAGAAGAAGAAGAAGCAGCTAACATGGCATAGTGATATGTGCCTTATTCCAGCACTTGGGTGTGGCGGCTGGTCTGTGGACCTGTAACAGTGGCCACACCCCTTTGGTGTGTTCCGGTGGACACAAGCGGAAAGAGAGGAGCTTGAGGCCTGGCTTTCCTTGGTCCACTCTTTCTGATGGTCCGGTGAATCCGATAGAAAGAAGAGGGAAATGCTCCAGTGGTTCCTTGTATTTTTCTGTGTAATTGTTCCCCAATAAAATTGCATTTATCATTTATCTTGGGTCTAATGATATAATTATACCTCACCTTCACTGGGGAAACCTGCAGAGTCCTAGCCAGTCAAAGCAAACAAGCCAGCAAGCTATATGAGAACTTGTCTAATAAACAAATAACTTCTGAGTACAGTCTCCTTTACTTGAGACTGTAGTAACAGCTCAGATGGACTGGAACCTTCCAAACTGCCTCCCTCTAACTTCCTCCCAGCACCCAGACCTGCTGGGGATATGGATACTCCTGGCCAAGCCCCTAGTTTCCAAAGTTCACTCTTCAACACCCAGACTAGCCCATCACCAACCCCCGGCTGTGGCTCTCCTCTCCTGCCCTGTTGCCTCAGCCTGAACCCATCCAAGCTTCATGTGTGGCTCTAGCAACATTATGACCCAGAACTCTCTGCTAAGCTCCAACCCCGGAGCTAACTGACCCTGAAGTGTCTTGGTGCTGAGCTGAGAACAGACCCCTCGACCTATGGCCCTCTGCAGCAGCCAAGAGCCTCCATTTGCCCCAGAATTAAACAGGCCCAGGCTTGGTGAGGAGACATGCCCTTGCTTTGGATCCTGTAGTTCATGGTATCTCTCAGCCACAAATCAATCAGATCATGTGACCAAGGTCTGGAACATTCTATACTCTCAGGAAACAGGATAACAGTGATTCAGGTTGGTTCACAACAGACCCAGGACTTGGCTAGTATCACTTGGATATGATTCCCTTTGTCCTGATAGACTTGAAGCCAGGAGGCCACACACTGTGCATTCATACCTTATCTGTGAGAATTTCCTTTTGTCCTGTGGAAGAAGACAGCATGAGCCACGTCCTTTCCTCGGTCTGTAGGTACTGCAGAAGTCAAGCGCCATCTCAGCCACGGTCAGTACATGCATTACAGCGTGAACACCCAGGCAGCATGGCATTGCCCAAAGCTGACCTGGGGCTGACCGAAGCAGACTGAGGGACAGGAGAGGCTAGGGAGGAGAAAGGCAGCACTGCTCTCTTGGTTTGGGTCCTGAGTCAACTGGGCTTGAGTCCAGACCAGCCCTCAGGCTTGCCTCTTAAGCGGTCAGCAAACTGTGTTCTCTAAACCAAGCCGCTTGTTTTCTGTGATTTCAGACCTGAGAAGCCCTGACTGAATGACCCATCACCTCAGCGAGGGACATCAGGCCACCTCCCTCCCCATGCAGCTGCTGACAAAGCCTGCATTCCAGGCTCCAGCTACTGTCACTTGGGCTGGTTTTTAGCCATCATGTCCTTGCTGCCTTTTCATTCCCATCTGTTACACCCTCCAACGTGGTCCGGCCCACTAAGGTCCAGCCACCTGACTTCCCCTGCCCCTCCGTCTCACTCCCCTTAGATACCCCCCCCAGCCCCACCGCTGGGCTGCTCTGTTCTCTCCAAGACCAGGTGAAGGCTGCTGACAAAGGAAGCTGAGAGCTTTCATCTTGAGGCACAACCACCAGGCAGAGACAGACCTAACCGGGGATGGCTCAAATCTTTAGAAATCTCAATGTGCATCCTTAGTGACTCACCTCCTCCAACAAGGCCACGCCTCCTCCAACAAGGCCACGCCTCCTCCAACAAGGCCACGCCTCCTCCAACAAGGCCACGCCTCCTCCAACAAGGCCACACCTCCTAATCCTTCCCAAAAAGTTCCATCAACTCGGGACCAAGCATCAAACATGTGAGCTTATGGGCCAGTCTCATTCAAACCACCACACTCCCCTCTCTCCTTCCTGTGGAAACGGTCGGTGTAGTGGTTTGAATGAGAAGTTCCCCACAGCCTTAGATTATGGAGGCACAGTTTGGGAGATTTAGGAGGTGTGACCTTGTTGGAGCAGGCATGTGAGGGGCAGGCTCTGAGAGTTTAACAACCTTTAAACAGCATTCCCAGTGTGCTCTGTGCTTCCTGTCTGTGGCTTAAGATGTGAGCTATCCACTCTCGGCTTCCAGTTCCAGCCATCATACTAGCTACCTCTTCCAGCCATTATGAACCATAACCTTCTGAAACCGTAAGTCTAAAATAAACTCTTTCTGCCATTAGTTGCCTTGGTCCTGATGTTTTTATCACCACAATAGAAAAATAATAGAGGCGGGGCTGGGGGGAACAGTGTCCCTTGATAACTGCAGTACACAAAAATGAACAATATATAGTATACAAAACAAACACATTACCCACTAGGTCCTCACACTGACATTGTCACTTCTATTTCATAGGTGAAGGGACTGTCATTCAGGAAGGTTTGCTGACTGGCACTGAGAGTGTACATTTACAAAAATCCACTCTCAGAGCAGAGGTGCCCTGCCCCAGCTCTAGTCAGGGGTTGAATAAAGCCAAACTCTTGACCACACTGACCACTGGGGGTCAGAAGGCAGCCATGTGCGGGCACTAGAGTCACTCGCAGCCCACGTCACACCCACCCTCACAAAACCTTGCTTCTGCCTTGGATAGTACATCAGTATTTAGCCCTAGAGCACAAATGGACTTTGGGAGCCCATTGCACATGGAGGGATGCTCTCTCAACCTGGACACACGAAGAAGGCTCTCTACCTGGGATGCTATGGCAGACTTCGAAGATTTCCCCATGGAAGGCCTCACCCTCCCTGAGTAGTGGAGGGGAGAAGGGGTGAGGGGTTGGGGGGGGAGGAGGGGAGGGGGAGGGAACTGGGATTGACATGTGAAGCAAGCTTGTTTCTAATTTAAATTTTTAAAAAAAGAAAAGAAAACCATGCTTCTAAACCAGCTGTGGTGGCCCCATCTATAATCCCTGATAGGCAGAGGTAGGAGAATTACTGTGAGTTCAAGTTCATCCTAGAGCACTCAGTGAGTTTTGGGTCAGGAGGGGGGTGGGTCAAGTGCTGGAAACAGACCAGACACTCAGAACTGCATTTCTGGACAATTTAATAGCAAGCCAAGGAAAGTGATAGTGCATTACTGATGGCTGTTGACACGCTCTCAAATGGGAGATACTAACCAGCAGTTCTCAGCAGCAATAGGTTACAATAGGTTGCTGGGTTGTAGGACACTCCTGTCTGGCATCAGGCAGGACAGGAGCTGCACTCTTGTATCCACAGGGGTCTGGTGTGCAGAGGACACACTAATGTCCAAGCAGTTGGGGTGTAAAGCCATGTCAGTGTCCAGGGCACACAGCAGTCAGCAAGCAGACTCGCTTGTTCCTGGAGCGTGGGTCTCCTGGACCCGCCCCAGGTATCAGAGAGCAGCTCCAGAGGCAGCATTGAGTGCTAGGATCCTAGAGTAGGGAGGCACCACAGTCCAGGTATCTTCAGCCCATCATCTGCAGCACAGATGGAGTAAGGGCGGGTGGCAGGGGTTTCCCGGTGCGGCAGCAGGTGGAGGGAGAGCATTCCGAAGGGCACAGCTTGCTCCAGCATCTGTAAGACACGGTGCCCTATCTTGACTGGAGGGAGCGTGCAGTCAGCTGAGGAGATCAGACGGGGCCCTGTACACGATGAACTCAGATGATAGGGTAGGGCAGCCTGTGTGGCACAGGCTGAGGCTAACAGAGTGCACTGGGGGCCAAGGTGCCACCTCTCTGTCCCTCAGACCCGCCCCTAGCCCCCACCTCTTTCTACCCTGAAAGGAGTTGACTGCAGCATCCCCTCTCTGCCACCCCCCCCCCCAGACTAACCGCCTTGACCAGAGATCTGTAGGGAATTTCTGAACATGCTGTACCCATTCCAACAACTGAGCCCAAGGGACATCAAAGGCAGGAAGTCGGGTGAAGAAAGCTTTGGCCTACCCCCCCCCCCCTCCCAGCTCTGTCTCCGTCCTGGGTGTGAGCAGACAAGAAGATGCTGGAGACACAGCCTTTCCTGCTGCCAATCTCCACACATCCTTAACACCATAGGGACTTGAGCGGATGGCTTGGATCCTTCCCATCCATGTTTACTCCAACAATCCTGAGCCCCTCCCCCATTCCCCAGGTTCAAGCCAGGAAGGCTGCACCCAGCTGGTAAGTGGCTGCCTCTTGGCATCTGAGGACTGTTCTAGGAACAAAAGGGTATCTGGCAAGGCCATTGATGAAGTAGGGACAAGATGGATCAGTGACAATGAGGCTTAGGGTTCAGATCCTTGACTGAAGCTGAAGGCTGCCCATGTGCCTGAAATGGCTCCCTTGTGACAGGAAGGGAGGCCATGTCTCCTACCAGTATCTCACAGAGCAGTGGAGAAGCAGAGGGAGACAGCTTGGAACCTGGAGCCTCATGGTCCATTCTGGCTCTGCCACTCTCCTGAGTATGTCATGTGCTTGTCTCTTTGAGTTTTACCTTCTCAAAGTTCTCTGAGCTTCCCTGTTTGTCAGTGAAGGGGTTTGTGGGAATTTAAAGACCCTCCATTCCACTGAGGAGAGAGAAGTAAAGTACATGGTGGAAGACAGCAGAGTCTATCAGGCTTAGAGGAATCTGGTACAAGAGAAGATCCCCAGGGCTCAAGAGCAGTTAAGTGAGTGGGGACAGTTCCTAGGCCCTGCTCACTTCCCTGATTCTAGGAGCGAGCACGCACACACACACACACACACACACACACACACACACACACACACACACACACACTGCCCTGGACTATCCTCTCTCCAAGGCAGTGGGGAAGGCATCTTGAATGTGAGAAATCTGCCACTCTCAAGGCTAGTGTGGCACAGCTGTCCAAGAACTGGTGCCAAACCCTTAGCTGCTAAGCAAGGATCACACATCATCGGCTTCACAACTGGTTAACTGCAGCTGCCCACACCCGCGGCCCCTCACCAAGCCATCTTCACAGGCACCCTGCACCAATGCCTTACTGGCAGCTACTTGAAAGCAGGAGGGGTGAGTCACCAAGAAACAGCCTCTACAGAAGCCCCCAGGAGTCCCCACACACAGCTGAATATTGATGAGACAGTGAACCCACCCTCCTACCTCACCTCCCCACCCCCATTTCATGGCTCAGTCTGAGGTGGCCTTGGACTGGGATTACTTTGTCCTTTGGGCCACCCAGGCCCTTCTCTCCAGATGGTTCCTGTCCTTAGAGGGATGGAGACAGGAGACCCAGACACAGCCCCCACAGCTGGGAATCATCAGCCCCACTTATGCTTCCCACAGTGTCTGCTCCCGCCAGGACCCACTTCTGCTTCCCTTCCCCGTCTGCTCCCGCCACGAACCTTGCCATCGCAACCCCCAACACACAGCACACAAAACTCCTGGCCCTGAGCCACCATGAGCAGGAGTGAGGGGAGGGGGCCTCGGCACACCTCTCTACCTGCAAGGTTTCCCCAAGACCAGGGATACCTCCAGTGGGAGTGAAGAACCTCCCCTCCCTTCCTCTGCCTTCACCTTGGCTCGCCCCAGCCTGCCCACTCCCGTGCATGGACAAAGGCTTCATGGAAGAGAGAGCGGCAAGCTGAAAGCCAAGGTTCTAGTACAAAGGGTTCAGCTGAATCCAGCATGCACACTACAAGTTGGACTGGGCAGATGCAGAGGTGGGGAAACATAGGTACCAGAAAAAGCTCCCATCACCAGGCCCCTCCACCCTCCTTCTTTATGGACATGGGAACACAAAGGCTGTCTGTGCCTAGGGGACAGGCAGGGACGGAGAGATGATCAGAGGCACAGGGAACCTCCAGCCCCACCCTGGACTTGCAGCTGTCTGGCTTGGTGAGAGAAGAGGCCATCACTGTCCACCCCACCCAGCCCCACCCCTCCTCTCCCTGTGCCTCAAGGCTCTCACCTGTGCAGGAGACAAGAGCTTGTGGGATGGACCTTCCCCTGGGCTCCACAGAAATAGGCTCTGGAAGGCACAGAAGCAGCTGAACTTTCCAAGGCAGGCTGACACCTAGGAGTCATTCCCTCCACAGGCACCAGGCTCAGCCTCATGGGATGCCCGCCTTTCCCGAGCCAGTGGTGCTACCAGGCCCTGAGCTCGGAGGAGGAGTCCACCACCCAGGAACAGGATCCCGCAGAGCACCAACAGCGACAGCACACCCAGCACTACCGCCTGCACCCTTCGTGTCCCCTCGGGCGGCCTGAACGGCAACCCAGACTGGTTACAGCAGTCCAGCCAGGCAGCCTTGGCCAAAGCTCCCCCCTGTGAGGCGTTCATGCTCCCACCAGCCTCCCAGATGTGCACACTATCCTGACAGCTGAGGCCCTGTGAGATGTATTCAAGGGGCGGGCCTCCCAGGGCTCTACCGCCCCACTCTGCCCAACTCTGTGCAGAATGAGTGAGTGCTTACGTCCCTCCTAGACAGGCTCCTCCAGAGAAGCCTGGAGGTCCTTCTCTGGCAGGCCGGATGCTTAGGCCTAGCCTATCTGCTTTCCAATCCCATGCCCATAATTTGAAATTTCCAAGTAAACCCAGGAGGCCTGTCCCCAAGGCTTCCCTTCGTCTCAGGGCTTTTCAGCTTTTGGGATTCTTAGACATACACCCCCTCCAGGTGCTGGTTGAGGCACTGACCACTCTGAGCAGTCAAATGGGCAGCCCAAAGGGACAGGCAAGTAGAACACATGGGATTCCTCCAGAGCCCAGGGCAAAGAGAACGGGTAGAACAAAGAACCCAGATGGCAGGGCCCACCTCCACTCTTTCTCCTGTCCTCTTGGCCAAGAAGAACATAGGCAGCGAGCAAGGAGGGGTCCGTGGGAGAGTTTGGAGGGAGGGGGATGATGTAATTATACTATTTCAAAAGATAATTTAAAAAAGAGCATAGATACAGCCCACTGTCCCCATCTCCAGAAAGATGGGACATTGCTGTCTTAGAAGAGAGGCCACTAACAGGTATATATCCATGACCTAGCCAGGGTCAGCAATCCGGATGCAGAGAAGTCTCCTCAGGTCTCCTGGAAAGTCTATGAAAAAATTTTAAGTTCCCTTTTCTTTCTGACTTTTTCTTTCTTTTTTGGTAAGAGTACTCTGTCTGCATGTATGCCTGCATGCAAGAAGGCACCAGATCTCACTATAGATGGTTGTGAACTACCACATGGGTGCTGGGAATTGAACTCAGGACCTCTGGAAGAGCAGTCAGTGCTCTTAATGGCTGAGCCATCTCTCCAACCCCTTAAATTCCCTTTTCAAAAATAAAGTGGAGAGGCTTGGGATATAGTTCAGTTGGTGGAGTGCTTGCCTAGCAACTTGCCCAATGGAAAACTCTGAGTTTTAAATCCCAGCATGGCGTAGAACTGGGTGGGGCAGCATCCACCTGCAATCTCAGCATTTGTATATAGAACATAAAAAATTCAAGGTCAGACTGCATGATGAGTTTGAGGCCAGCTGGGACTATCTCTGTCTCAAAATAAACAACTAAGTCTGGCAGTGGTGCACATGCTTTTATTCCCAGCACTTGAGAGGCAGACACAGCAGATCTCTGAGTTCAAGGCCAGCCAGCCTGGTCTACAGAGTAAGAAGATCTAGGACAGCCAAGATCTCCAAAAACAAAAACAAAGAAAAAAAAACAAAACAAAAATCCTGGTTATGACTTTAATCCCAGAGACTGGTGAATCTCTGAGGCCAGCCAGGAATATAGAATGAGCCAGGAATGTCTCAGCTATGTAGAGACCCTGTCTCAAACATCACCCAAAAGGTCACCTCTAGTCAACACCTCAGAAGAAAACAGGGAACACCATGACCGTGGCAGCCAGGGAAGCTTGGAAAGATACCTGCTCTAGTTCCAAGCCTCTCGGACACGTCCATCCTCCAGAGTGCCCAGAGACTGAGAACACCAGTCTTTCAGGAAAACAGCCAGGGGCAACGTACACGTGGCCTGGAAAATCCTGCCATTATCTGGTCATCCTAGCTCCCTGCTCCAGGACCGTGGCCAGGGCCCCAGGCAACTTCAGTGTTCCTCCCTAGGGGCAGCTCACTCAGTTGCGCTTGGATCTCCCCAGGGGTAGCCAACAGCATCGTAAAATACAGAGTGAAGAGGTGCAGCAGCAGAGATGGGGTACACCTGTGTAAGAGGAGTACGTTCCCGAGCACTGCCCCAACATTAAGACAGGGTACACCCGTGTAAAAGGAGTGCGTTCCCGAGCACTGCCCCAACAGTGAGGCAGGCCAGTCTGGGCAGGCCACCGGCCTTCCTGTAGACACGCCATGTTAAGTGATCTTGTGTATGCTTTCTAATGACAAAATACCCCATTGCCCCATTCATGGGCCAAGTCACGGTCACATCTGGTTGGGTAACACCTATATATGTGAATGTCTAACAGAGCACAAGCTCCATCAGTTTTAACCTGTCTTTAACTGCATCAATTCACTCCTCTCAGTTTGTAATAATGCCTTCAACATACATGTGTCCTCATGAGAATGTCAGGAAGTGTTCGTGTTTCAGGGCAGGACACAGGCCAAGACAGCTGAGCCAAGCTCACATCTCAACTTTATTTGCCACCCTCATGGTAGTTCTGCACAGTGTAGAAAGAGAACCCTGCCAGCGGAGGTGTGGAGAGGCTGCAACCAGAACAGAACCACTGCAAAGGTGGCAGGGTCACCAGAGGCCGAAACCACAAAGCAATGTCACCAGGAGCTTCTCTTCAAGTCTCATCAAGGGTCCAGAGCAGGTTCCAGAGCCCCAAGACCCCTGCATCAGACTCCCAGAACCATCGTGGAGTCACCCAGGCTCCAGCAAGGCCTACAGGGCAAGGGTGTCTTTGATGAGCCTGCGCATGGTGGTGGTAACCGAGGTGCCCAGGGCATCAGTGATCTGAAAGGAGATCTTGTAGAGGTAGGGCTGCACGTCCCGCAAGCCTGTGTCAAACACATTGTCCACCTCTGACTGCGTGGGCATCTTGGGCAGGTACTCGTGCCGGCTCATCACCTCCACGATGTTGATGATCTTCTCACAGAGCTTCTCACCCACCTTCTCCCGGCAGATCTGCCGCTCCTGCTCTGTGGCCAGGGCTACCACGTGCACCTTGACCGTCCACACCTCCCAAGGGATGCACTCGTCCGAAAAAGGCCAGCGAGACTTTTTCTTCTGATAGAATTCCAAGGACATCTGGCCTAGCCCATCACCACCTGAGTTTCGCAGTGCATCCTGGGGAAGACACAACAGATGAGCAAGTCTTGGCCTTGGAAGGGTCTTATCCCATGCAGCCTGATTTCCACCCCGGGGCATTCATTTTCACTTCTACCTACCCTACCTTCTAAACCTGGCAGGAATGGAACCCATGGAAGGCAAACGACTTGTGTGAGGTGACATAAAATACCTAAATGGGTTCAAGCAAATTAACACCCTTCTCCTTGCCCAGCTCCAGTTTTTTCTTTTCTTTTCTTTTTCTTTTTGAGACAGGGTTTCTCTGTGGCTTTGGAGGCTGTCCTGGAACTGGCTCAGTACACCAGATCGGCCTCGAACTCAGAGATCCGCCTGCCTCTGCCTCCCAACTGCTGGGACTAAGGGCGTGCGCCACCACCGCCCGGCTCCAGCTTTAAGAAGTGGCACTGTATCAAATGTGGGCAGAGGTGCAGACGCATATGCACACACGTGTATACTCATACATAACAGTTGTTGTGTTATAGGCAGGGGCCGTGTTGTGGGTTGAATGAGAAGACCCCCACAGGCTATTTTTTGTATATTTAAATACTTGATCCCCAGTTGGGGAACTGTTGGGTTTGCATTAGGGTTATGTGAGGATATAAGGAATTTGTGACGTGGCCATGGAAACATCCAGCATTGTATTTCTCGAGAAGGGAATCTGGAATGTCAGCAAATGTGAGAAAGAGCATGGGAATGCCTGTGGCCTTCCTTGGTTTCTAGAAAATAGGGCAAAGCCTGCTCTCATGCCTCAGACATTTATATAACCTTGAAGATGCTGGCCTGAAGCCTCTCTGCTAAACTGTAAAATCATAAACTGTTATCAAGGGTTACACAAGAAACTCTACACTGATAAACAAAAATAAAAAATAATGTTGAGACTGTGAAACACCATAGAGACTCCTGAAGTTTAACTAAACACATCTTGAAGTATGATATGGTCAAAAGCCTATGGAGCCAGGGAGTTAAATATGGTGGTTTGAACCAAGCGTATAAATGCTCCCATTTGGTCCCCAGTTGGTAGAACTGTTGGGAAGGACTAGGAAGTGTGGTCTTGTTGGAAGAGGTGTGCCACTAGGGGCAGGTTTTGAGGTTTCAAAAGCCCCATCTCTGCCTTGTGCTTGTGGATCAAGGTGTAAGTTTGCAGCTACTGCTTCCGAGCCAGGCCTGCCTGTTGTCATGCTCCCACCATGATGATCATGGATTTTAACCCTCTGAAACTTTAAGCCCCAAATAACCCACTTTAACTGTTGCCTTGGCCGTGATGTTTTATCACAATAGATAGAAAAGTAACCAAAACAGGGTGCCTATAATCCCAGCATGGAGGTAAAAGCAGGGGAATGGGCAGCTCAAGGGTGCTACCAGGTCTAGAGGCTCCTATTCTGAGTCTAGGACTTTCAACTTCACTGGCTTCTGTAACAATTGCAGAAGGGAGGTAGATTACCTTCATTTTACTGAGGTAAAAATGAGGCTCAGAGAAGAAACAGCACATGGAAAAGCGATGGCTCAGGAGGGAAGAGCTTGCTCACAAGCCTGAGTCTGATCCCCAGAGCCACATAAAGACACTGGACATGGTGTGGACACTTATAGCTCCAGCACTGGGGAGGCAGGGGCACGAGGATGCCCCAGCCCGATCGCCAGTCAGTCCAGCCTAATCTGTGAGCTTCGGGTCAGTGAGAGACCGTCTCAAAGGATGACATCTAGGCTGTCACTTGGCCTCCATGTTCATGTGTCCACACACACATATGCATATAGAAATTTAAAAAAAATCATTTGTCAAAATGATCTTGTGAAGACCTATACCAAAGTTTGACTCCAAATTGTCTGATGCCAACACCTATCACTTCAACATCACATTGAGGGCCTCCTCTTTCTACCACCCCACTCCCAGGCCCCCACAACCTTCAGATCATTTTCCAGGAGCTGTAGAATGGCTCACTGGTTAAGCGTACTTGCAGAGGACCCTTGTAGCTCCAACAATCCATCAGGCAGCCCACAGCCACATCTAATTCCAGCTTTAGGGAATCTGACAGCCTCCTGTGGCTCCCACAGGAACCTGCACATGTGTGCATACTTACACCAACACACATGTGGCACATGCTTACACAGACAAACATATAAAATACAATCTCTTCTGAA